CAGATGAACGAGAAGCCATCATCCAATGGCTGAGGTCGCAAGACCGCAGTCCAACCACCGGGCAGGTACGAGCCAATGTGGTTGACACTCGCCGCCACCCTAGATCGACTTTCTTGTCCATCCAAAAGCATCATCGATTCACTCACGTTCACCCGCACCTTGTACCTTGACTCGCACCGCCCGTGTCCAGCAATTGCCAGACAAGGTGCTTCGCCCCAACCATGCTCTGCGTTCTGAGTTGGCACGCTACCGGGAAGAACATGGGTTTGCCCCACTCCAAGCCCCTGCTGCTCCAGCCCCTCAGTCTGTCGCCCCTGCCAATCCCGAGCAATTTTCTTTGCCCCTCGTACACTCTGCCAATCGCGCTCGCATGGAGCACCTGCGAGAACTGATCAATTCCAATCCAGTCCAGCGATCACATGAACTTCTGCAGACGCTCATGGTCACTCGCGACGCCACCCGGATGCGCGTCGCACGAGAGCTAACAGCGGCAGACGTATCTCTGCCACCGGAAGCTCCGATCGAGTTGCAAACGTTATTCAACATCCATGCCGCATCCGGTCTGGCACCTGATCAGCCCATTCTGCACTTTCAATTTCCGGGCCAGCCCCACCAACAAGCCGGCCAGTCCATCGCCATGCATTTTGAACGAGACCCTGCCAACCCACATCGACTTGTCCTCAGACCCGCAAACGTGCCCAATCCTATTCGGCCCCCAGCGCAACCTCAAGGGCAGGCCCCAGCACAGGCCCCAGCACAGGCCCCAACACAGGCCCCAACACAGGCCTTAGCACAGGCCCCAGCACAGGCCCCAGCACAGGCCCCAGCACAGGCCCCAACGCAGCATCCAACGCAGCCCTCGACGCAGTCATCGGCAACCCCACGTCAGGTTTCTTCTGTGCGTCGCATTCAGATCAGAGCTACGGCGCCGTCGCAAGCTCAGAACCAAGGTCAAGGCCCCGCGCAAGCCACCGAATCAGGCTCTGCACATCAATCGACAGCAACGACAGCCACCAGGCCGACATCGAATGTTGCTGAGACTGCCCACACCCCTTCAGGGGCTGCGACTCAGAGCCCACCCGCACGCGCGGCCACGGGTAACTCGCCCGAGGCTCGCACGGCCAAAATTGTGCTTGCTTCTGACCAGCAGCGTGAACATCGCCGAAAAAAATGCTTTCAAGACCTTGTAGAGCAAGTTTCTGCAGGTCGATCATTCACATCCTCGTTCGATCGTGGAACAATCTCGCACGTCTTGCACAGCTTGGGCCCCAACGGCCCTAGCCCCTCTGTTGTCTGGTCCGCAGGCTACTGGCACAGTCGCACGCCACCTACTTTGCCGCGTGAACAAGAAGAGGGATTTCTAAATGGGCTACGTGCTAACCTTCGTCAGCTCGACTGCCCGTCGCCTTTTCTTCATGACAGCTACATGCGTGAGCATGTCTTCACCGATCCGTGTCGCCGAGCCTTGCTGGTACGCCTGTCTATCGACACGGTTTTCAGCGGCTACGGCCACCCGTGGGTCGTTGCTTTTGATTGCTCTCCTCACTGCAGCTGCCCTCTGTCTGTCTGCCCGATTGGGGGCATAATAATGGCTTTGTTTTTATTGTTTTTGTTTTTGTTTTTCTTTCTTCCCTGCTGCTTGTTTTTCGTTTTCATTGGAGACAACCTTTTGTGGTAACTTCGAGACAATTTCATCATGGTTGCTGTTGCCCCGCATATTGCCATTGCAGCACCTCCATTCCACGCGCTTGGAGTACACAGCGCTGGACCGTGTTCCCAGCTTGAATTATCTCTTGTGCCGAACTCCCAAAGCTATCCTTTGGATTGCACGCCAGATCGGGTTTGATGTGGCGACCACCCGCGATGCTCTCTTGAATGAGTATCACCACTTTGTACGTTGTCTGGACTGCCTTTTTTCAAGAAAGCGGCCGATACTAAAGACCTCACTGCTCTCGTCCGCCTCAACCCGTAGATCGTCACTAGGCTCACCCCCGAGTCACTTGTCGCCAACCCCACTGCCGAGCAAATTGGGTTGTCCGGGTGGTTTGAGATAACATTGGAGACCATGCTACGCCGCTTGACCACAACGGTGGATGATATTCACGCGTCCGTAATTCTGCTTTCAAGACCTCGCCCGTCTGCTACTTTACTAGACCGCGAGCTTATATCACTGCCTGTTGGCCTTGTGTACATCAGGTTACTCCGCCAACTGAATTTGCCCAACTGGGTTTGTGGTGCAATCCAGCTTCGCGCCTACTTCCTTGGCAATGAGGGCGTATGTTCTCTCCTTTTTTTCCCCCGTGATGTGATGCAATTTTTTTTCTGTTCTTTTTTTTGTTCATCATTGTGTTTGCACCACCTGTGGAAACCAGCTCTACTTTGCACTTCAAGAAAGCGAGCTTTTGCAGGGCCGCACGCCTCGACCGGATCAGGTTGGGCCAATGGCCCTGATAGAGCACCTCCGCAATCACATGTTTGTGTTTGCCCTCTTTGAGGACTTGGACATGATGGACAAGTTCAATGACCGCGGTTGCGTTGAGCGCTACCACCGTTGGGGTCTAGATACCATGCTTTCAATTGTGCGTTTGCCCTCTCGGTCCCGTGCTTTTGCAGTGAGTTTAGCCCCAAGCTTGCAAAACAAATCGCTCATGAGAATTGTCGTGACATGATTGCTCCTCACAGGCAGCGACCAGCAAAAACCAAGCCATTCTTGACGCCGTTGAAATCTGTAACGCCCGGAACGGCTTCGGGAACAATTCGTTGACCAAAACTGTAAGCCCTACTTCATACCCCTCTTTTTCCTTTCCTGGCCAACTCGGACTAAGCTCAACAATTTTGTTTATTTTTGATTCGCTCTCATGCGCTCATCTCCGCATGGGTATCTAGCTTCCTCCTTTGTGGTACACGGCCATTGCTTCAGACAATTTCGAACTGATCTCTGTCATGCATGGCACGTAAGTTGGCCGTTTGCATATCAAGCAAAACTTTTGTTCGCTTGTTTTGTTTTGTTTTGGTTTGGTTTGTCCTCTTTTTCTTCGCCCTGTTCCGAATCGCCTGAATTTGATGAAGGGCTTGACTACACTCACAGAGCCAATCTGCTTTCGGTAGCACGGTGATTCAGAGTGGCATGCAAGCTGCCACACTTATGATGAAGACCATCTTTCAACCTTTTCAAAACATCCACCCGCTGCTGATTGCCATCGCTTACAATGACAAAATGGCCTTGCAATTCTTATTCAACACTTTGAAATTCACTCTGGAAGAGGCTGACCGCCTTTGCCCTGGCGTAGGTTTAAAACGCTGTGCTCCGCTCCCTAGGTGTGCTGATGTCAACGCTAAAATCCTCGCGCCGTTTCTCAACTTGTGATCCTCCCGTTAGACCTTGGTGCGCGCCGCTCGCATGGCGGCCCATCACCCCGAATTGCTACGGTGGCTGATTGAAGCCAAGTTCCTTGCCTTGGATGTACGTGCTTGCGTTTGAGGGTGAGCAAGGCGGGTGGCACAGCATGTATGGCTCACCATTCTGGGACTTGACGGACAGGACACACTCGCCGCCACATGGGAAGCAGCCATTGATATGAACCAGGTTGGTGTCTCAAGTTGCGATGATCAGGCGCAAAGCTCGCAGAGACAAAATGGACTCGCGCCTTTCGCTGCCAAGTGCCAGTACCTTTTTTTTTTTTTTTTTTTTTTTTTTTTTTTTTTTTTTTTTTCCCCAATGCACTTTACCTCATTTCTTTTTGTTTGACCTTTATCGCTGAATGTGGGTGTGCTTGATGCTAGCCGGATACAATGGACGTGCTGATGGAATTTGGTCTAGTGCCTTTGATCCCACGTCGACCATGGCTTCATACTAGCCTCGTTATGATCGTGGTTGATCTTCCGATTGAAGACTCGTGTCGACTTGTTCAGAAAATGCTTCAAGTAGGCGTGCTGGTTGCTCTCAAGTGTAGTGTGCACAATTTTCTGCCCGCATGTACCACTATTGCTGACTATCTCGCTGCTTCTTGCTCTCTTCCTCTGTTAGATTTGCCCGAATGAAGATATTGCTTGGGAATTTTTGATGATGGCGGTTGCCACGGTCGACCGGTGGCAGATCGTCAACCTACTGCGCCGCCACAACGTACCATCCGACGTCTTGACCGACATGGGTTTGCTTTACCGTGCTGCTGAATTTGGCTCGGAGGCTGTCATCCGCGCCATAGTGGCTTGGCTCAGCTGCCAGTCAGCCTATGAGCTTCTTTTTGACCTCAGTAATTTGCAGGTCCAGGACACTGGTGACTGTCCACTTCATGCTGCCGCCCGTTTGGGGCACGAGGGCACCATCCGTGCGCTGCTTGAAGCCGGCGCCAGCCCATCGGTACGTCCCAAGCCCGGGCTTGCATGACTTTTTTTTTTGTCGGATCCCAGTTGACATTGTATCTCTGGTTGTCGATGATCCTTTCGTGTCGAAATAGGTTCACAATCATCAGGGCCAACTTCCCTATCAATGCGTGCCAGCGGATCATGTGCGACATGGACGGTTGCAGCGCCTATTGCGGAAGAACTCGCCCATGGCACCCAAACCCACTTTTAAATGTGAATTTTGAGCCTCGAGGTAGCAGTGTTTGGCCAAGCGCTTGAGGAATGTGGTTTGGCCTGCCGTAAATGCGCGCTTTTTCCGTGGTCCGGGCCATTATCGAACCGTCACCCGGCAAGGCAAAGCGAGAAGCGAGACGAGACAATTCATTATCAATTGTCAATGAAACCACATCGACAACTCTTGCCGACGAGCAGGTGATATCATTCACACGGCAAAATGACACAAGAGGCTGGCGTTGGGCGCCACCCATTGTCCAGTTGACAAAAACCCTAAACTTAAAACAGCTCGTGTGCCTTATTTTGGCCGGCGGTTTAAGATTTTGAATCGCCCCTTCATATGTGGGTTGTCGTTCCCTGCCGCTGCCCTCTTGTCCTTTTTGCTTGCGCGCCCCGCCTGAGCGAGCGATGCCGCTTCAGCCTCCGCAGCAGCTTCGCCCTCGGCCTCCTCGCGCACCGTTAGGTCGGCTAGTCGGTGCGAGCGTGCATGGTGAGGGTAGGCGCCTGATCGAGCCGATGGCGCGCTGTGGGTACGAAGTGGATGGTGACCATGATGAGGATGGGAACGTGATGACGGCTGGGTGGGAAAGGCGTGTGATCGAGAGTTGCTCGAGCCAGTGTCCAAATGCAGGCCATCCATGCTGCCCATTGCAGAGCCGGTCCCACCCAATGAAAAATTGACCTACCCATGGCACAAACACACAGCAAACAGTGTGAGACATATGTGCGCTCGTCTGCTCATCTGTGCAAGCAGGGCAGAAAAGCTTGCAACGCAAACTAGAAGTAGAACAAGATCGCACCCGAGGCTTTGGGCCGTGCGGCTTATCAAAGTGCTCGAGGTTGGAGGTCGAGAAGGACCGGCGCGGGACAGCGCTGTGAGCGTCCAAGCCTTGCATGGATTGGCTGGTCAGCAGAGTGCTAAGCCCATCTACACTACCATGGCCCGCGGCCAACTGTCGGGCAGAGCCGCGCTTGATTTCACGCGTGACAACCACCGTTTCAAGAGCACCATCCCCCTGGATCACTGCCGGGCGCGTCAAGGTGGTGGTCGTCACAATCACGTCATCCTCATCCTCGACGGTGAGATCTGTAGTGCTGCCGTGCTGCGAGCTGGCTGCCGACGCACCAACGCCTGGGCTTGCTGCCATTTGAAAGTACGCGGAAGAGAGCAAGTCGTGAACGATCATTTGCATCGCTTGGACAAAGGGGCAATGCTCGAAGCAAAAACCTTGGCGCAGCGCTCACCTTGGTTCCACTCCACATCACGAACATGCGGCCGTGATGATGGCTGGCGTTGCAGCGTGCGCTGTTGGTGCATACATCGAGCCCCCCAGCAAAAGGGTACAAAACTGTGAACATGAATTTTAACCCCCAAAACAAAGCAAAAAGGGAGTCTCCACTGTCTTTTGATACAAATTTGATGAACAAACCGTGACGGTGACGGTCGCATCAAATTTGTTCACAGGGAAGGTGGACTCCTTGACAAAGGCCATTGTGTTCAACAAACGGACGCCAGCGCGCGCTTGGCGCCAGGTCATGTGGTTGCGTGCCTGTGCGGGTTAGGGGTAAGCGAAATACACATGAGTTCATGTGCTCAATCAGGAATGATGGGCGCGCCATGAAGGTCGCCGCGAGCCAACCAAGTTGGAGTGAATGGCAAAGGGGTCGTAGGCCATAAAGTCTTCATAAGGTTCCCCGTCACCATCATCGTCCTCGTCACTGTCGTCGTCCGATTCATCCGCCGACCGCTTGAGAGACCGTGTGCGGCGCTTTTCGGCCTCTTTGAAATGCAGTAGCGCCCACTTCAGGGTACGCGGGCCAATCACCTGAGCCAAGACTAGCCAGAGCAAGGAAAGCCAAGTGAGGGAGGTGCGCTGCCGATAGAGGAAACAGGCCTGCAAAGGCCGGCTGTTGCCGTCGCCCATCGCTCGTCACCCGTTTGCCCGTTGAATAGCAGCAAAAATATTGTGGAACATACGAATCATAAACACGGTCATGGTGGCGAAGGATGGACCCCAACCCTCGGTGTGAAACTCGTCCTCGAGAAAAGTGGCGTACGCCATGCCAGCACCAGCTTGCATGATCATGGCAAGAAAAGCAAATTGGCCGTGGCGAGCCGGCTCGTTGGCCCACCAGCATCCCACGTAGCCGCCCACAAAGAGGCAGACGATTCGCACAACGAAGAGCAGCACGGCAGCCCCGACGACCTAACAAGGCAAGGCAAGGCCACCATGGTCAGCAGACAGTGAAGAGCAAAAGCGATGAATCGGCTCGCGACCGTGCTAGTCCAGGCGCAATCGAGTACTCACGTTGCCGAGAAGCATGAAATCAAAGGACATGCCGACGTAAGTAAAGAAGGTGGTAAACACATAAGGTGCAATGCTTTGAATCATTTCATGCAGACTCCACATGAGGCGCAGATCCTTTTTGTAATTGATGAGGGTGGCCGTCGCTGCGAGAGGTTGGCGGGGGATGCGAGATCAACAAAAAAACGTTGAGAACAAGAAGAAGAAGAAAATGAGGCGAGGTGCAGGAGCTGTCAAGCGCGACCAAGGAGGGCACTGGTTGGCATGGAAGCACACAACCGTAAACCGTACAAGGCAGCGTACCGGTCATGCAGGCGAGCGAATACTGAATGTGGATGGATGCGTGATCACGAAGGGCACGTTGAGCTTCGTAGAGGCCGTATGCCGCGGCCAAGAGCAATCCGCCGCGAAAGAGCTAAGGCCGACCACAGGGTCCACAACAGGGTTGCATGATTGAGCGTGCCAGAAGTTGCTGAGGTGCACCAAAACGGCAGCCTGGCCCCTCGCGGGATCCTAGCAGACTAAAAGAAACAAGCTCAATCCAGGAGACCAACCTGAAAGTTGCCGGCGAGGAAGCGGTCGTAGAGCAGGGGTTGCGTCCAACCACGAAAGATGCGCTGGCGGGCAAATTGATCGAGACGGTTGGCATCGAGGCGGGCGAGCGCATATAGAAAAGGCGTCATGGCCAAGCCAATGAGGACGGTGAGAATAAGTTCACCGATGACATAAAGGACAATGAGACCATTGTCGGGCCGGCCGTCATCTGTAAACACGCCAAAGGCGACGTGGACCACCACGGCGTAGAGGACGATGACGACGGCATCCTTGAGGAGCACGACTCCCAAAGCCATTTGCCCGTAGGGGCCCTTGGCCCGATGCTTGTTGATGATGGCGATTGTAGCCAAAGGAGAGCTTGCTACGGAGATGACCGCGCCCAGCAGGGCCACCGTTGCCTGAAGCATGACAGCCAGCCAGCGGGCCAAGGGTGGCATGTTCGCGTGAGGCTCATCGATGCTGTTGCATGCTTCGAATAATATCTCTTGTCGCAAGCATGGCGATACAAACAGTCGGAACGTGTCAAAAGCCAGACAGAAGAGCCCCAACACAGACTGACCTGTTGGCCCGGGGAGAGGCGATCCATGAAATCGGTCAGGGGGGCGGCAACAAAAGCCACAACGAAAAAGCCGACGAGACCGACAATGGTGGTGGCAGTTACAATGCGGAGAAGGCTGGGAAGGAATTGGTAGAGATGGGGAAGATAGAGCTCAGCGCCTGCAGTAAAGGCGATCAGGGCCAATGCGAGGCGATCAATAAAGCGCAGATCGTCAATCTCCGGTCGCGATAAGATGTGAAGGATGTCTGGACCAGCCAGGATGCCGGTGATGAGGTAGCCGGTGAGAGCCAGCATCTTGAGGTGCGAAGCCCACTGTCCGATGCGATAGGATGCCATGGAGAGCAGCAAGAAGATGAACAGGTAGCAGGAAGCGCAATCGGCGTGCTCATCGACGTAGGTATGCATGGTCGCGTTGGGCACAAACGAGGTGCTGCCCAGCTCGCTCGGCCCGACCGTGGTCTCCAGCAAAGCCGTCGTGGTGGCCATGTCCCTGGTTGAGCGGGCCAAACACGTTCCTTCAACTCCACAACGAGACCGTGGCTGACAGCGCCAAAAGCGGCCGCGATCCGGGATCCCAAGGCCAGCTGCGAGCCAGCGGGCGCGCAACTCGACCCCGTCGAGCCGATCCGATACTCGTGGAAGCAGAAAAACTACAACATCTATCATATATGCCACATCTATTACGTCTGTGATGATTATCTAGTCTGCATTAACTTGGATTTATGCTACATCAAGTTTCAGCATCGGGGCTTTCGAGGATCGTCGTCCTGCCCATAGGTTTGCGATAGTGTGCTCTCTATTACACTTTGAATATATGGGATATATTGTCAGACGCTTTATGGCCCTGTTACCAAGTGTTATTAGTTTCCCGACCCATTGTCAGGTTGATGGACAGACTGGATAACAGATGGTAGCAACATGTGTATCGATGTCAGATGTTTTGAAGAAAGGTTGCACCAGTGCTGCAAGAGCTTGGATATCTGCTGCATGTTTTATTAAGCTTTTCCCTATGGATTACCTTAAGCTTTGCAATCCTCTTCATCTTCATCAGTTTTCGCTGCATCTTCCTATTCTTCGTTTTTCGGTTGCCCAATTTCTTCTGCCGCTACTTCCTCCAAACTCACTGCACAAACTCCATATTACACACCCTTGACATCGTCATCTTCTTAACATTCTGCGTCAAGTTTCTGCTTTAGCCAGGTCCTTTTGGAGTTCAGTGGCTTTCAAGGGTTTATTTTTCTTCTTTTTGAAGGTGTGCTCACTGGCAAACGGCAGCGCCGCCGCCGCCGCCCGCTGCCTGCCTCTCCCGGCGCCGCTTCTTCCTTTACTGCCTCTTCCGCCCCCTTGTTCTCATCCGCTCAGTGATTTTTTCAAATGCACGATTAACCGTCCTCACGCGCCTCTTTGGGTCAACATGTTTGATCTTGGTGATGCTGCAGGTTTTTTTTTTCCTTTTCCCGCCCAGTACCCGTGACCATGTCTGGATTTATGAAGTCGTTTGAGGGCTTTGCGACCGATGCGGTCCATGCCGGTCAGGAGCCCGAGAACTTTAAGCACTGGCCTTGCGTGCCCCCGATCAGCCTTGCTACCACCTTCAAGCAGCCTACGCCCGGCGTGACGCAAGGCTACGAGTGTAAGTCTCCCCCACCATCCCGAAATTATTCGTCATACACCAGTCATACGCCGGGAGCCAAGGAGACTCACGACGCGATTGCCTTCGATTGCCTTCTGGGCCATTCGCCTCCTCTGTCCATAGACTCGCGTGGTGGCAACCCGACCCGTGCCGCTCTCGAGACCGCGTTTGCCTCCATCTGCGGTGGCAAGAAGGGTGAGTCTGCCCATGCTGCGTCGCTCACCAAGCCAACCGGCCCTGCCCACACCAGCCGACTCATTCCACCACTGGTCTGCTTCCTTCTTGCCAGCTTTTGTGTGGGCCTCGGGCTTGGCTGGTACCCAGGCCGTCCTGCAGCTGCTCAAGGCCGGTGACCACGTCCTTGCCTGCGACGATCTCTATGGCGGTACGCACTGCTTGCCTCGTTCTGTGTGATCCGTGCCCTGAAACCCAAAAGGCCGAAAGGGACCATACCCCTTCTGGCAGCATGCCGAGTCTGCAGTGCCACTGGGCTCAGCTCTGTTACTCCGACTCGCCATGTTGACGCGTTGCTCCCAAGGCTCGATTCTCACCTTTTTGACATTCATGACCAAACTCCGCCTTGCTCCGAATAGGCACCAACCGCATGCTGCGCCGCATTGCCGCGCCCCTGGGTCTCGAGTTTGACTTTTACCCCACCTCCGACCCCGAGGCGTTTGCTGCGCAGATCAAGCCCAACACCAAGCTTGTCTGGATCGAGTCCCCCACCAACCCCCTGCTCCAGGTGACCGACATTCGCGCCGTCGCCAAGCTGGTCAAGGCCAAGGGCTGCACCCTGGTCGTGGACAACACCTTCATGTCCGCCTACTTCCAGCGCCCCCTCGAGCTGGGCGCGGACATTGAGTTTGCTTCGGTCACCAAGTACTACAACGGCCACTCGGACGTTGTCATGGGCCTGACCGTGACCAAGGATGAGGCCCTGGCCGAGCGCCTCCAATTCATCCAGTTTGCTGCCGGCGCCGTCCCCAGCCCCTTTGACTGCTACCTCGTCAACCGTGGCCTCAAGACCCTCCACCTGCGCATGGAGGCCCATGCCAAGAACGCCATGGCCGTGGCCCGCTACCTCGAGGCCCACCCCAAGGTGACCCAGGTCATGTACCCGGGCCTCCCCAGCCACCCCAACCACGAGGTGGCCAAGAGCCAGGCCACTGGCTTCAGCGGCATGGTCGCCTTCCGCATCCGCGGTGACCTCAAGGCCTCGGAAACCTTCCTCAAGACGGTCAAGGTCTTCACCCTGGCCGAGAGCCTGGGTGCCGTCGAGTCGCTGGCCGAGCTGCCCGCCATCATGACCCACGCCTCCGTCCCTGCGGAGCAGCGTGCCGAGCTTGGCATTAGCGACTCCCTCATCCGCCTCAGCGTTGGTGTGGAGGCCACTCGCGACATTCTCAAGGACCTCGAACAGGCCCTCGATGCCGCCGTCCCCACGCGTGAGGCCACGCCCAGTGTTGCCGACTTTGAGCACATTCTTGCCGCACACCGCAGCGACGAGGCCGCCCCCGCCCCCGTCACCACCTCTGCCGTTTCCGCCCCGGCCCCGGCCAGCCAGCCGGACGCTCCTGCCACCGCTGCCACCGCCAACCGCCCCTCGGCCGGCCACCACATCACGGCCAGCGAGCTGGTGGCTAGCCCCCGCCGCGCCGGTGCTGCTCGCATGCGCGAGTCCTCCATCTTTGACAAGCCCGAGCCCACTGAAGCCCGGCCTCAGTCTCGCGGCCGCGCTCCCCCTGGTGGCGCCTCCAGCTTCACCTTTGGTTAATATAAATTAGCCCCGATACACGTGTGTACGCAACTAGGCGCGCGTCCATTCGTGCCGCCCTCCCTCTCCCAGAGTAACGCACCTTTTCGTGAGGCGTTCCCAGTGTTGTTCTCTGCCCGACTGGTCTTACGTGCCCCGATCCCTCGTCATCCTTTTGCTTTGTTTTTCCCAATTTTATGTTTGTTTGCTGTTCCAGTGAGCATGCACTTGGATGCCGCGATGGACGGTCAATTCACCTTTTTTGTCCAATAAGCCCCAAGTTTGAAATGCAGTTTGGCGGATCCTCTCAGCGGGTGCTCTCGTCACTGCGGTTGTGTCCTTGTACAAACATAAGCTCGATACGACTACCGGTCATGAACAAGCAATGCGATTGACACAAGCTCGATTGTGACTTTGGGAAGTGCAGAGATCGGTGATGCAATGCTGCGCTTTGTTTTTGATCGCGCGGCTTGTTGCGGATGTTTACATGTGTGGCAGCAGCTCGCGCTTCCGTTTTGATGCTGCTTGAATATTGACGTGTCTGTTCAGATGTGCCCAGCGCTCGACCATGAGATCCGTGACAATGAGATGTACTTGGGAGGAAGCGATTGCATGAGATCAGGAGACGCGTGGCTGCATTTTGAAACGCAATCCTGGCATTTTTTTTCTTCTTCTGCTTGCACAGCAGCAATCCTGCGTCTTGTGTCAGTGGCAGTCTTTTTATGGGGTCAAACCCTTTGACAACCCGTCCACGCGCGCAAGTGGTCATGCAAGTGGTCATGCATGTGTCGCTACTTTTGTGTGCTTACATTTTCGACTTGCATTTTCTTCTGCTTGCATCTTTCATCTTCTGCTTGCTTCATCTGCATTTAATTTTTCTTGGTTCGACATCGATCGTGAGATCAGTCAGCGGTGGCGTTCTCAGTCATTGTGGCATCGCATAAGGGCCCTTGCTTTTGCTTGCTCGTTGGCAATACGGCGATTATCTGGTCAGGCGGATGTCTTGTGGCGACTACCACAACGTTTGGTTCAGAGCACCACTGCCACTGGTGTAAGCGCCACTGATCTCACAGCGTGCGCTGGGCAAAAACCAAGAACGCGTCACTCTGCAATTGTTAGCCAGAACTGTTGACCAAAGGTGAGTTGGTTGGCGCATCAGGAGGGAATAGCAAGATTCACGGACTCGCTGCCGTTTTGACAAGCAGTCCGACATTGTGTATTGTCAGGCGATTTACATGACATCGTTTAACGACGATTTGATAGATACCATGAGTCAGAATAGCGATGGAGTGTTGCTGTTTCATGCTTGTTGGGCTTCAGAACCACAACAAGCGCTGCGGTTGTTGAACAATTGGGATCGACCACGTATTCAAGCTGCTGCCACGTTCGAAGCGGTATGTCGGCTGGGTATTGATTACGCTTACGTTGAATAAGATAACGTCCCCTGATTTGCTGTCTTGCTGGTGATGGTCATCGGAACACAGAATGGCTATAAAGCACTGCACGGTGCCTGCGAAAAAGGCCATGCCGAGGTGGTGGGGAGACTGCTGGAGTGCGGTGTTGACGCCAATGTCAAGGACAGCAATGTCAGTATCTCCTCCTTCCCGCTCGTACAATTTGGGTGCACGTGTAACGCAATGTCATGATGATCCTGTACCTACACAATGGTGACGCGGTGGTGCATCTCGCAGCAATGCGAAACACCTCTGCACAGGGCCTGCATGAACGGTCATGTAGAGCTGGTGGGGATGCTGTTGAAGCATGACGCTGATCAAGATGCCAAGGACCACGTCAGTAACTCCCGATTTGCCTTGATGATGGTACATGTGTGACACGTGATACTGCTGTTCGTCATGGTGATGTATGTAACAATGGTGATGTATGTAACAACCCACCACAGAATGGCTGTACACCACTGCACGGTGCCTGCTTTGGGAATCATGTGGAGGTGGTGAAGATTCTATTGAATCACGGCGTGGATATGGAAGCCAAGGACTGCAATGTCAGTACCTCCCTTTCCCCCGTTTGCCGTCTCCCTATAATGACACGCTGCATCGCACTGATCCTACAACCTGTACGTGCATGTGATGCATCACAGCATGGTTATACACCACTGCACGTTGCCTGTATGAGGGGTCATATGGACGTGGTAGGAATGTTGTTAAATCGCGACGCTGGTGCTGAAGCCAAGGACAACGTTAGTAGCTCGCTCCTTCCCCTCCCCCTATGATGGCACACCCGTTGTAACACATGACGCTGCTGTGCAACTACGTATTTGTGATGCATTGTCCCACAGAACGGTGAAACACCACTACACAAGGCCTGCAACGAGGGCCATTACAAAATAGTGGAGACACTGTTGCGGCACAACGTGGATGTTAATGCCAAGACCAACGTCAGTACCTCTCTCGACACTGCCCCCCATGATGGTACACACCTGTACCATAGCTTGATGTGACTGTACATATCGGTGATGCATCATCTTATGCAGAATGGCTACACAGCACTGCACGCTGCCTGCATTAAAGGTCATGTCAAGGTGGTGGAGATGCTGTTGAATCGCGGCGTTGATGCGAACACTAAGAGCCACGTCAGTATCCACTCCGCAGTCCCCGACCCTACACACCCTCAACCCCACAACCGCCCCCCCCCCACACACACCACCCTGCTACGATGGTGCCCTGTAACACAGAATGCTGCTGTTCCTGTATGTGATGGTGATGCATCAACCCACAGAATGGCTGTGCGCCACTGCACGATGCTTGCTTTCAGGGCCATGCGGAGGTGGTGGAGATGTTATTGAATCAAGAAGACGTAGACACGGGAGCCAAGGAGAGCGATGTCAGTACCTCCTTCTTTCTTTCCCTCCTATGCCAGTACTCGGCAACACAAACTGATCCCGTACCTGAACGTGGTTGTGATGCATTAATCCATAGTATGGCTTCACACCACTGCACGGTGCCTGCGCTAAGGGCGATGTGGACGTGGTGGAGATGCTGTTGAAGCACGGTGCTGATACCACAGCTCAGAACAACGTCAGTGCCTCTCTTCTCTCCCTCTCCCTATGACTGGTCCCGCTGCTCCTGTCTGCCCTCTCTGCTCGTTTCCCTTCTACACCCTACTTGCCGTGCCATCATTCAGCCATCCTCCTCGTTTCGTGCACATGTGTGGCCGCCTGTTTGGTTTCTTTCTGCAACTCCTGCCCATGCTACCTGTGCCCCTCGCTTGCCAGCTCTGCTTTCCTGTCTGCGCTTCCCCATTTTTCACCAGGGGCCTGTTGCTTTATACCGGCCATAACCCACGCCCTCACCGTCTTGCGTCTGCCTTCCGCATATTTAAGCGGCCTCCAGCCGTCATCGCTGCCTTCTCGACACCCCCACATTTTTTGCTTCATCCTTTGCTTTTCCAAGCATCCCCGCCTGTGTCCATCCTGCTTGCTGCACGAACACGCATCTTGCTTGCCGAGCGGCACTTGCAAGCTCTGGAACACTGCTGGCTTTGCTGTTTCTATGGTCTAAGAATACAAACACGCGACACCAACCCAGCATGGTTATTCACCTCATGTTCCGATCAATTTACTGTGGCATATTTTTTAGTTTTGCGACACACCGCTTGAACAGGGACGTCAGTACGGGTATGGCAGCAAGCTGGAGCCCGTGTTTGCTGCCCACGAGGCTCGCCTATCACAACCACCCGCACCCCTCACTCCGCCCACACCTGTACTTCCGCCCGCACCCCTCACTCCGCCCACGCCGGCACCGCCTTCTGCCTGGCTGCCGCCTCTGCCCACTACCTCCACCCTCGAGGTGAGCCTGCTCCCCTGTCATGTTTTCCCCAATGCTTTTACTACCTCAATCCTCACCGCCTCACCCAAACTAATCAATATCATTGGAACCACACAACACTTACATGTTAATTAGACTACGGCCTCAGTTGTGGTGGCGGTGGACACCTGGCTCAGGCCACTCCTGCCGGAGCGCACCACCAGCCATCCCCTCCCCCACCTCGATGCATTTATCAGCGGTGCCGCCAAACAAAACCCCGATCTTGCAATGGCGGTTGCGGATATCCAGAGGACCATCGATGAAGCGCCACCAGAGTTTCCTGTCATGGACTGGGCTGCTTTCCAGGCGACCACCACCCAGGCCCTCGGCGCGCTCGATCAGGCACTGGCAGTGCCCAAAGCGTTGAACGGCCGATTGGGTCAATTGGACCCCAACACTAACAAACTAAAATCAGCACTGCAAGAGCTGCTCGATGTCACTGCTGGGTTTGAGCTGCAACCGGTGCTTCTCGAGCTTCAGACCGTGCTGGCAGCGTGCCCCGCTCCACCCACCACGCTGACAATGGCACCCGAAACGCCGCCCGCCAACCTCGGTGCAGCCCTGGATAAAGTCGCCATGCTACGCGATGTGGAAACCAAGCGCATAGAACTGTTCACCAACGCCGACAGCAACCTCCAGCAGCTGGTGTTGGCGCTGATTACTGCCCTGCGTGCCGTGGCAAGAGCGGGAACCATCGACACGGACCATCGCGTCGATACACTCGAGCAGAGTGCGCAAGGCTTGGATTTGAGTGCACCACCTCCAGCCGAGGCATTGCCCGAGGCCTGGGAGCAGCTGTGCCAGGCCCATGAACACCTCAGCTCGCCCAAAGAGAATGGGCTGGAGCAGCTCGCAAACTGGAGAGCAGAACATGACTATGAGCATCAGGACTGGTACCTGGCGTTTGTGCTGCACGAGGCACAAACCCTGTTGCAGCAGTTGCAAGACATGATCGACTGGCAAGCCACGACGCTGTCCGTGCTAACTTCGTGCAAAATCTATGCGGATGGTATAACACAGAACACAGATGCCCGAGCCGTGCCTACACACGAGGAGGTGGCTGAGCTACAGGAACAAATTCAGGCAACCACGGCAGTCTTGTCCTTTGCTCCAGATGCCGTGCGCACTGGCCTTCAAGCTGACTTGGATGCTAAGAAAGAGCGTCTAGTCATTTTGCAGCAACAACTATCGGATCAAACACAGGTAGACCAGGTGGTGGCACTGGCAGAGCTACTACACCTTCACTTCCCAGCTCTGCTGGTCTTTTTGCACCCTGAACAGAGCACGATGGGAGCGCGCCTCCGCACAGTGCTTGGCCCCGACCTTCCAGCCAGTCTGATCTTGGAGGCCATGACCGAAGTGGACCGCACGTTGTCGCTCTCCAGCCTGGGTCAGCTTGAGCTTCATTACAACCAAAATCACAAGGTGTATAAAGCCCGCGCCACGCTACCAGATTCAGGGGAACAAGATTTGGCCGTCAAGGAGTATGTTTTTGCTCGGCAACACAAACAAGATCAGTGCCGTACGTTTCTCCGTGAACTCCGCGCCATGCGCCAGCTTGAGCACCCACACATCATTCCGGTCCTCGGTGCGCTTGTGGACGTGCATGATGGCCACCCGAGCGCCTACCTGGTGCAGCCGTGGTGTACGCAAGGGGATCTGCAGCAGTGGCTCGGCAAGGCGCGCCACATGGCCACCTCAACCGTGATAGCAGGACTCATGACGCAGCTGCGCACCGCCCTGGCGTTTATGCATAGCAAGGGCTTGGTGCATCGGGATGTCAAGCTGAGCAACGTCATGTTAGACGGCTCGGAGGACCAGCCCATCGTGCGGCTGGGCGATTTTGACATCGCCAAGGCCGCCGCTGAAGCCACCATGCTACCATGCACGGCCACTGCATCGTCGGGTACGGCGGGCTTTATGGCACCCGAAGTGCTATTTGGCCAGGGTCGAGTGGGGGCGCGCCCGGCACAGGATGCCTTTTCCTTTGGCTGTGTTGTCTACAATACCTACATGTTCCCACAAATGGTGCCACCTGCTCAGTCACGGGGTGATGAGGTCGTGGATCAATGCACATGGAATTTACCAGCGAGAGATGGTGTCTGCAGCTTCCCGCATCTGGCTGCTGAGGTCAGTGATGTATTTTTGGCTGGATCAGGCAAGGCCAGCTCATTCTTAGCTCATAAAACTTTTTCCATCGCAGATATGCGATTCGACGAGTGATTTGTACAAGGAAACGCGCGCCTTGCTTGCAACAGATCCGAAACAACGGCCGAGCCTGTTGAGCGGCCGGCAGATGGCAGAACGACCTGTCGCCGCCCATGCCGGGCCAGCAATTGAAGTTTTGCGCAATTCACCCGAGCTTATCCCAGAGGTGCGTTCGTTGTTGATGCAATGCTTACCTCGACATGAAGACTGATTTGGATGTACCGTGCAACTAGGTTGCTGAGCTGTTGAAGCAGCTGAGCATTGACGGGCAAGGGCCAGCTAACATTCAGGTGCAGCGGGTAGAGCGCGTGCACAACCCCGTGCTGTGGGAACGCTACAGCGCCAAGCGACGGGAGATGCTGCACGGCATTGCAAACCAGGAGCATTGCACGCAGCTTCAAACGGCCACAGTAGATGCGCTTTCGGGCTGTCCAGCCTTGCTTCGCGATGCATCCTGTCAAGAGCGCCTGCTGCTCCACGGCATCTCCCCTGGCTCAATGTTGCGTGACAAGATTGTGCGCTTGGGCCCCGACCTTCGCTTTGCGGGTAGCAAAGCCGGCCACCGATTTGGTTTTGGTGTCTACTTGGCGGACCATCCCGGCAAGGTGTGATTTTTGAGCGGGCGTACTGTGTTGCTGTCGCTACTGCATATTCTCATGAGCATTTAACATGATGTAGAGCCATCGATATACTGAGCCGCCGAATGTTCCGAATCAGCTTGGCCCGAACGATGAGCGGACGCTCTTAATCACACGAGCACTGTTGGGCCATGCCTTTGTTCATCACTCGCCTCCGTCCGGTGCACTGGCCCCTCCGCTCTTGCTACATGCACCCGACAATGAGCGGTGCGTTGGGCAATAAGCGGTTGTTTTGCGTGCTAGAGAGTGCCTTGGTTGTTTATTGACCCGCCTGCTGTGTCTCCATCACTTCTTTAGATATGACTCGGTGATTGCCACGCCGCCGGGGGAATGTCACGAGGTCATTTTGTTTGACAATACGCAAATCTATCCTGAACTGGTGGTCTACTACACGGCCGATTAGAACGCGTCGTGCTGTTGACTTGGTCCTGGGGCTTGTTTCCTGTTTGCTTGTTAGGTGTTGCTTGTCGTGCGCCAAGGGCGTGGATGATGAATCGATATACATGATAAGGGCGAAGTGTCAGCTTTCATCAAGATGATCTGCAATCCCAAGTCGTGTGACGGGTCATTGGTGGGTTGAGCTGTGCTTTTGTGCATGTATTAACTTGGTACGGCTGCTGGTCGTGAAAGGGGAGCAATGCAATTGAAAGAAGCTCATTTAGATAGCAACCGTGAAGCCAGAGCGCATGGTCGAACTGGGCCACAACACCCCGTCAGCACTACTTGAATCGGGCATGCACGAGCTGTTCTGGACGGCCTACGAGCAGCTATCGGATCAGGGCTTGGCCGCCGCTGCTGTGACGCACCTGTTTGACGACAATGAAGCGCAATATCAGCATCGCCCAATGCGGCAAGTAAAGACGCAAAACGCTAGCAGGTACCTGAGCCTTGGACCACGCCTGGTTCAATTTTTGCTGCGGTTGGAAGCCATGCCAGCCCCCGACCTGTCGAGCTTTCGGGGCCAGGTGCTTGCCAGCCGTGGCCCTAACAATCTTCTGTCCTTGGTCTTCTGAGCATCGCTGCCTGATTATGGGCATGGGACGAGTTGGAAGAAACGCAACGCAGGCTGGCCAATGCGTTGTCAAAATAAGCTTTCAATTCTGGAGTCATCTTGCCATCAGCCCCGAAGAACAAAGGTGGACACATTTGGCTATTATTGCGGCACGTCATGGGTTCTTGGGGTGCCTGGCAACGTTCTTATGCTTCAAGCGTTTGGTGGCTTGATGGCAAGTTCAGCATTGCCGTGGTTGGGGTTTTGATTGACCGTGTCACTGCTCAAATTGCTAGTGCCCTCTCAGGCAGCTGTGATGAATGTTATGAAGCCTGCGCGCAACCTCCACGACCATATGACTGCCACATGCCCCGACCTCAAGGAATCTGCCTGTCGCCATGAAGCTTGATGCCTGGTGCAGCTCATCGTAGCCAGAGGATCGGCTTTGACGATCAGTTTGTCGGGCTGATGCGGGGTTTCAGCGCCGACGTTTGAGGAAAGGGTTGAACAGGCGGCACACCTGCCGCCGGCGAATCATGCGATAAAGACCATTGACGTTTGCAAACCGCTCGAGTTCAACGGTGGTCACTGCGCCCACTGCGCGGACTTGCGTCGTCGCCGATTGGCCTTGGCTTGACGATCCATCTGTTGGTATGACACCATTCGACACAGTCACGGCACGCCTGTGGTGGGGGCGGCTAAGAAGGAGCACAGCACGTTGAGGCGCTGCTGAAAGCGTTCTGGCTGCGCTGGTGTGGAGCGTCCACGCAAGAGACGCTGAACACGAGCCAGCTCGCGTGCCACAAAGGTGGGGCCCTGCGCCGCCAGTCGCGTCAGAATTTGACGGTAGACAATGGCTTGCGGTGACTGCACGGTGGATTCATCCAGGGTCTCCAGCTCCGCCAGTGCAGCTATGGGACTGAGAATGCCCTGCGCAACACGCTTTGCGAGCTCATCAAGGGGCTGGATACAACCTGGCAGGGCGAGCCACTGCGCTGTGCCCGCCTGCACAAGGCGCAGCAATGCTTCCACCGACACGTCGTCCGTCAGATTCAAAGGGGGGCGGCTTCCCTTTGGCAACACATAAAAGCTGGGGAATGCCTCGGTGTTGAGCTGGAAGCGTTGGACCAACCGGTTCACGTTTCGATTCATGTCGGCGTCATTTGGGCCGACCCCTGCCCCGCGCACACAAGTTTGAGGCGCATGAGCTGAGACTTTCAAAATAAATGTACTCTGTGGGTTGTCCCTCTGAGGAACCAAGGCTGAACGAAGGGGCTAATTGCGCGTACGCACCATGCGCAAAGGACACTTGAGCCACCAACACGGAGGTTGGAGCCAGCTGTATGGCTACGGTTCGAAACGCATCCTCAAGCTCCCCATGCGAATACTACCATTGCCGCCACACAGTCGGTAGACCATTTGAGCAGACCTGCCCTCCAATGTCGATATGGGAAAGTGCAACAGCAGGCCTACCGCCCAGTCAAACTTGACCAGTACGTCCACATCCGCCCCGACCACCTAAAAACGCGAGGGCTGGTCAGACAGAAGGCGATCCAGAGATGGCTGACAAGAGGCAGGTAGACCGTATCCATGGCCGACAGGCAGCTCCCCTCACCTTGTCAAAAGTATGCTCATCCAAGTTGATGACCCCTGGCGGCGTGATGCCCCCAGCCAAGGCCACCGTGCCCAACTCTCTCTCCTCCCAACCATGCACCATCCCCAAATTCACCACCAACAGCGGCACCGCCACCATCACCATCACCAACAGCGGCCCCAGCGGCCCCAGCAGCCAAGAAGGCCCTCGCACCGCCATCGTACACAAACAAGCTCGTAAGAGATACTGTGATAATTGTTACACTTTATATTAAACGCTGTGTGATATTTATCACACTTTTATACGTGTTTGCTGGTAAGAGAACAAAAAGGGTCTGTTCTACACGTGCTCACTTTGTATGACGTGTGTCTCTCTTCTCTATCTCCCTCTCTATCTCTATCTCTCTCTCTCTCTCTCTTCTATCTTCTCTCTCTCTCTCTCTCTCTCTCTTTCGCGCAGTTTCTGCCTTTTCCGTCCTCTACCGCCTACCGCCGGGCCAGGAGGAGACCAGCTTCTTTCCCGAGTGTTCTGCCCACTTCTGTTCGTGTGCATTTGCTTCCTTCTCTTCTCACACGTAGGTCATGGCGACCGAAGCCCCAACGACCGCCGAGACGGCGCCCGAGGGCGCGGGCGTGGTGGCGCCGACCGAGACCGTTGATCAGTATGTCGGGGTGGATCTCGGAACCAGCGGGTATCGACTCTCGACGATGCACGAGAATGGCAGCGTCGACCTCCTTGTCAACAACCTCTCCGCTCGCACCACCCCCTTTGTCGGTACGTCTTGTCGAGGCCTCGCCACAGCGCCGTCGTCGTCGTGCCCCCTGACCCTCACGGACCGCCTGCCTGCCTTGGCGATGGGCTTGCGCAGTTGGCTTTAAGAACGATTCGCGTTTGTTTGGCAATGCTGCCGCCGACTCGGCCTCAACCAACTCTCGCAACACCATCACCGACCTGCTGACGCGCGCCTCCGCCTCCGATCAGGACCAGGCCACCATCGAGGTGGAATACGAATGGGATGGCCAGACTCGCCATCAGTTTGACATCACCCAGGCTCTCCTCTTCGCCTTTGAAGAGGTCACGCGCCGCGCTGCCGAGCTGCGCCAGCGCGCACAGGCCGCTGCCCAGAGCCATCAAAGCGTTGTTCAGCACATTTGCCTGGCCCTGCCCACCGCCAGCCCAGAGCTGCATAACCGCGTGCAGACAGCCGTTCGGCTCGCCCAGCACCTCCAGGAGGGGGCTCAGCCGTGCCAGGTCCATCTGAGCACTGCCAGCCAAGCGCTTCTGGCGGCTTATTGCCACCGCTACAAGCTCACCATCGATGCCCCCCAAGAGGCTGCCCCGGCAACTGATAACGACGCCGAGAGCGCAGACACCGTGGCCGCGCCCGCTCCGGCCAGCGAAGATGAGCCAGCTGCTTCCGTGGTCGCCGTGGTGGATGTGGGACAGGGCTTTGCCAACGCGATCCTAATTCAACGCACGGCCGACACGGCCAAGCTCCTGGCGGCCACCTCGGCCACGTTTGGTTGCCAAACCCTCGATGAAGCCTGGTTCAACACCCTCAGCCAGGACATCACGGCCAAGTACAAGGAACCTGTGCCGCGCGACTCGCGCAACGGCCTCCGCTTGCTGGACGCCTGCTGCCGAGCACGAACCGTGCTCAGCGCCAACAATTCGACCGATATCGTCCTTGAATGCTTTGGCGAGCGCGAGTGCGATGTGGCCTTAAAGGTCCAACGCGATGGTTTCAACGCCGCCTGCGCTGATCGCATGGCCCCCTTGGCCGCCATTCTGGAAGAACTCCTCTCTTCTGCCAACCTCAGTGCAGCCGACATTGAGGGTGTCGAACTGGTCGGTGGCGGCACCTGTGTACCCCTTGTCCAAAGCACCATCGAGAGCGTTTTGGGTGAAGGCAAGCTACGCACCACGCTTGACCGTAGCCATGCCGTGGCCATTGGTACCGCTGTCCTGGCCTCCTGGAAGGCTGGTGATAATACTGAAGCACCAGACACCACTGCAGCAGCCGAACTTCAGAGCCACGAACAAGCCTGGCTCGAGGCCGAGCAGCGCATGCGTGAGCAGGACGCCAACCTGCGCGCAATTGGGGAGGCTCGCAATCACCTCGAGGCCTTTCTATTTGCCACCCGTCAGCGCCGAGATGGACCCTTTGGAGACAAGTTCAACGCCGACGCCACTCTTCCACTCTTGGACTCGACTGAAGACTGGCTCTGGAGGTGCGAATCGCCCACCCGCCTTGTTTGTACGTGCGCCGGTCCTCATTCTTTTTTTTTTTTTTTTTTTTTTTTTTTTTTTTTTTTTTTTTTGCGTGCATCTGTGTAGCGAGGAAGCCGAGGGCGCCACTTCGCCCGACGTTTACACTGCGCGTCAGACCCAGCTGGAGGAAGAGGTGCGTTTGTCTTTGAACCGAGGACCATGGCGCACAATCCCGGTGCCTCACTCGTCTGTCTTGAACCGACATTGAATCTAGGTGCAAAAACTTAATGCAGAGTATTTTGCTGCCGTTGCCGCAGCCGAGGCAGAAAAGGCGGCCAAGGAGGCGGCTGAACGGGCACAATGGGAAGCCGAGGCAGCAGCGCAGGGCGAGAGCGGCGATGATGCTTTGAAGCACGATACGAGAAAGCTGAAAAAGGCCGACCGCATGCGCCTCGTCCTCAGGAACAAAGACGAGGCAGCCGAGCTGTACAAGGGTGGCAACTACGCCCATGCCATGGCCCGTTATCAAAAGGCCCTCTTGCACTGTGATCAGTTTTTCGACCTCAGCGATGAGGATAAGGCCGAGGTGGCCACCCTCAAGGTACAAAGAAGTCGTGTCGCAGCACGCTGATGGAACTTTGTGACCCTGCCATGCCACTCATCCTGCTTTGGTGTGTCTTTGATTTTTTGGCCTTTGCTTTTGCCAGGCCACGCTGTACTTGAACATTGCCATGTGCAACAGCCAACAATCATCGTGGAAAAAGGCCAAAGCCAATTGCGAGACGAGCCTGGAGCTCAACCCGCAAAATCACAAGGCCTACTACCGTTTGGCCGTGGTGTATGAGAATTTGAAGGACTATCAGGAGGCACTCAAGGCCGTGGGCAAGGGTCTGGCCCTGGAACCCGAGAACGAGGCGCTGACCAAGCTTGAGACGCGCCTCAAAGCTAAGGAGGCCAAGGCGCGTGCTCAAGAAAAGAAGATGTATGCCAAGATGTTTGGCTAACTTGAGTGCATGGCCCAGGGGACTGTAGAACGTGCGGGCACTGCCACAGCTGGAGCAACGGCACACAAATGCACACACGTGTCAAGTAGTGAGTCAATTGACTGATCAGATCACGCCGATGCCTTGCAATCACACGCAGCGCATTGCTGACACTATTGAAGACCGCATCAGAGAATTGACAGAGCAGGACGGGTTCAAAACGAAAACAGGCAAAAAAAAAAAAATCAAAAACCAAAGGAAGAACAACAACCGCCAGCAAGAGGACAAGGCAAAGAAAGAAAACAGGAAAGACAGTGCAGGGTAAACACGCGAAATCAGCACAAACAGACGATCAATAGAAAATCCTGCCCAGGAGAATTCTAGGCAGCGAGGACGCCACAAGGCGGCGCCACGGAATAGGGCCCCGGGCCTATAGATTTGTTTACTTGAGGAGCGGCTGGCGATCCGAGGCGCTGTAAGCGGGGGGCGCCGTTGCGACGGGCTGAGCACCGTAAGGACCAGGGGCGGCAGCACCCAGGGCCGAAGGGCCACGGGCCATGGGAGCACCGTAGTCAGCGGCGGTGGCGTGCAGGTTGAGCTCGTGGTCGACCTGAGCCTGCATGCAGGCCTGAGTGAGGCAGTAGACGACATCGGCGATAAAGTCAATGAGCTTGGCCAAGTGGATCAAGTCACGATGGAAAATGGCCGCAATGTGGCACAGGCAAGAGCTAGAGGAAGAGCAAGTCGTGGGCATGAGTACGGTAACCGTGACAAACAAAACAAGCCCTTGGGTTTGGTGCCAGGTGCCTCGCGGGAAATAATGCAGGAGACGCACAGCAGCTGCATGCAGTTGTTGAAGCGGATGAGGCGATTATCGCAGGGATCGGTGACAATCTGACGCTCATCCTGGACGTAGATGCGCGTTGCCGAGATGGCGCAATTCTCGCAGCACACGACCTGCGTTCACCACACATGTGGATGCACGCGTGGAGCAGACCAATCAGGTGAAAGAAAATCAAAAGACGCAGCCATGGTTCAGAGAAAGGATGGGGAATATTGATAATGAGTCAAAATCAAAGAGGGGTGGCGCACCTCCAGAAACAGGCACAAGTTGGGGCAATCCTCTTGGCCCGGGCAGCAAGTGCTCGTGATGCTGGGACAGATGTAGCCCTGGCAGCACCTGAATGACAGCAAGCAGACCGCAATGCCAAGAGGTTAGGATCGGCGGGGCATGGGGCCTGACCAATCTTGTGTAGATTCCATGTCAAGAAAAGGGGAGAGGGCCAAGGGATTTCGTACTTGTAGCGGGTCATGTCGTAGTTGAGGGCCCGGCGACGCAGGTGGAAGGACATGCAAGGTGCGCAGAACATGGAGAGCAGGCAGCCACCGGGGTTGTCGCAGCACGAATGCATCATGCTGGTCTCCCATTGCCGTGCCTAAGCGCCAAGTACATGAAACACACGATCGCGCAAATGCGATACAACGGGAACGGAGGTGAGAGCGCTTGCGGCGCTCAGAACATCACCACCCTACCCCACGGGCAACACACAAACCTGGAGGTGGATACGAGGATCATCCTCATGCGGCGCGCCATCGCACAGAACGTTGCCCTAGACCACGCCAAACACACACACACACACACACACACACACACACACACACACACACACCATGAGTATCTTGCGATCCAAGGCCTCATCCTCGTTTCCGGACGCAAAGTGTCCCGCACACACACACACACACACTGGTCCGATCTCCAACCCCCACACACCTTTCCCAAAACACACACACACACACACACACACACATCAACCCTGCACCAACGCTTTCTCAAGACACAACCCCCAACCCTCGACCCCGAAATCCACCAGCCTGTGCCATCGCAAACCCAAGAAGAGCACCAGGCGATTGCCCCCCCCCCCCCCCCCCGGGA